GCAGGGACAAATTCTCAGTTAGCGAGTCAACCATCGCTGACCATCTCAACGCACTTGGAAAGATAAAAAAAATCTTTAAACTTGGGTTTCTCGTACATTTAACGATTGCAAACAGATTTGTTTTTGGCGACTACCTTTTGTTTAGACGTCTATATCACTTTTTAAAAGGTAAAAATTTTATCGATCGAAATTCGCTAGAAAATGAAAATTCAGAATTCGTTAATTATTACTATTCGACATTCTATTGACAGGAAATGGAAAAATTACTTGTCAGAAATGTATCGGGGATATTGGAGCGTATGTTGGTTAATAAAAATAGTATCGTATAAATTCTTTGATTTTTTATGTTTTATAACCATAAACCTGCATTTATTTCCGGACAACCCAATATTTTTCCGATAAAATAAAACTAGAAGGACGACCGACAAACTATCATAGTGGACCTGGTTACTATGAAGTAATCAAAAAAAGTTTTCATAATAAGTCAATCATTACGTGCCTGCGGTCCCGTTTTTTTTTTTTTTTTACAATAACCAAAGGTGCGATGTGATATTAATTGTATGATACGGTCTTGGGGTAAAATATTCTTTTTCCTTATAACAAGGCTATTTCTTGACCCCGAGACTGATGGTTAGCGGAGGATACAAAAGGGGATAGGAGGAGCACGCTGTGTATATTCACAGTCTTTAAATATCCCCTAACAAGACTGAATGCGAGCGGTAAACACACAACAGCTCCACCTCATTTGACAAAAAATCATCTGGAGCCAGTTATCTATACCTGCCTACAAAACAACTTCCATCCCCATACTTTCTCAATTATTACCAGTTTAATAAGTTCATATCACCCATATCTAGTTACACCAAGCGTCTAACTGAAAGGGATAACTACAAGTTCTAAAATTTTACAAAAAAACACACTTATAGTAGACTGGGTACATTTTTGACAAATTTCATTTAGTCGTATATAATTTTGTCATTATATAAATTAGCTGGAAGAAAGGTATTTTATATTAAGTGTACATTTGACTATATATAAATACAAATGTTTTGTCCGTGAGTACAATATTTAACTCATAGAAGCTAATTAAAAAAAAAAAATCACAACCGACCACACCCCAGGGGCTGTTGTGACAGTGCGTAGAGTCGATAGTAACAGATTTTAAAATACATTAAAACGGTCTAAAAACACTTTTATATTATTATAGAACAAAAGAAAGAAAATCTGGGGACATTTTGGTCAATTATAACTAATAAAGCTACAGTGCCTTATATATATATATATAGTTGCAGTGCATATATATATAGTTATTATAACATTCTTCATATGACTATTTAAAACCCACAAAATATGCCATATAATATGCTGTAAAAACCTGTCAAATATGCAGTGAAAAATCTCTTAATATGCAATAAAACGTATAAAATATTCAATTACACTAATGTCCCTACAAAACGGTTTAAAGTTTAAAAAAATAGAGGAAGGATAACTAAATAAAAATAAAAATAAACTAAATAAAATAATTTAATTTCTTTTACAAACCAAATAATTAAAATTTGGCAATAGATTTAAGTTTCTATGATGCAAGATACTCACCTAAAGCAAAAAATTGGAGTACTAAAAGCCATTTGTACGGAAGCGATCACTTCCCAATGGTAATTGAAACATGGGGAAACAGTATCAATATGCCATCGAACACCAGATGGAAATATGAAAAAGCAGATTGGGAAGGTTATAAAAAATCGATTATCCAAGGTTTACAAACCATACCATATGGACAGAATTTGGAAGAAAAAATATTTTATTTTAAAGAGTTATGACCACAGCAAAGGAAACTAATGCTACTGTCAAAAATAATATGAAACATCATGATATACCGTGGTGGAATCACAATTGCAATGAAGCTATAAGAGCAAAGAAACGAGCCCTAAATCGATACAGGAGAAGTAGAACTGTTGAAAATGCAATCGAGTTCAAGAGACTGAGATCTATTGCAAATAGAATAATCAAAGAAAGCAAGAGAGCATCGTGGAAACAATATGTTTCTTCCATAAATTACCTTACCCCGACAAATGAGATATGAAACAAGATCAGGGCCATCAGAGGAATTAGAAGGCAATTTCAGGACTTAATATTGACGAACAGATCATAACGGATCCACAAGACATTGCTGAAGCCTTTGGAAAATATTTCAGAGAAATATCTTTCTCAAGCTGCAGCGATGACGTGATAAATGGTTATGAAATACATCAAAATTACATTTCAGGGCAGAGCCACTCTGATGAATACAATAGACCCTTTCGGCTACATGAAATAAATCCTTCGCTTAACGAGTGCAAAGGAAAGTCAACTCCTGGAATTAAAAAAAAAAAGTGTAAATTCCGAGATTTTCTATAAAAACTTAATTTTTATATTTTAGTTATTCTACTCCTTTAAATCTTTATATTAGCTAGAATCTATGTATTTTTATATAAGCATTATGTGATATATGTATGAGTAGATTGGCGTAGGGAGATGGCGGCCCCATCGTCTGGTCATAGTACCGCAGATAGCCACTGGCCCTCCAGGTTCGGAGAACAGTACACTGACACACATTCATAAACACAGATTACAGCACACTACATTCGGATTTGGAGGATTTGAGATAGGCAGTGATCATTATTAATAGATGTTGGAACGAGTTGAAACCACGAAAAAGAAATAAGAATTATATGAAAAAGGTCATAAAATCATATCGCTTAAGGCAGGATGACTTGGCAACCTATTTTCAAGAAGAAATAGAAAGAATGGTCCTAGAAAACAACAGACATTGGGACTACGGTGACATTGACAGGAACTGGGTAGCTCTTAGGATCCTCCTTGATGCATCGAAATTGGTCTGCGGGGAAAAGGGTGTTGGATGTAAGAAATGCCATCGAAGAAAAGAAGAAAGCTTGGAAGAACCACCTTTTAGTCTTAGAACTCCCGAAGTTCACAAGCATAAAAAGATCGGAGAAAAGATGCTAAGTTAAAAGTGCTTGAAGCAAAAAGGAAATCTTGGGAGGATTTTGGTCAACAACTTGAGGAAAATGCCTGGGAAAAATCAGAAAATCTTTTATAAAGTCCTCAAAGGAATGACTTCACTTAAAGGAATCAATGATAACAATGGCGAGATCATCTGGCAGGAGGAACTGATTATGGAAAGATGGGGGGACTATTTTAAAGAATTGCTTGAGGTTAGAGATGTAGAGTTGTGTGAGATTCGGAGCGAAGTAGAGAATGTTTGGGTCAGTGAGGAGGAACTGCAAGAAGCCATCGACAACATCAAGCTAGGTAAGGCAGCAGGACCTGATGAAATCATTCCCGAAATGATTAAGTTCATGGGTAGCAATGGCTAAGAGATATTCCTCCATCTTCTAAACCTGATTTGGAAGGAAAAGAAAATTCCAAAAGACTGGGAAGTTGCAGTGATCGTACCCATTTATAAGAAAGGAATTATAGAGAGTATGGGAATCATCGAGGAATATTGCTTCTCAGTGTACCCAGTAAAGTTTATTCCAGAATACTGGAGACAAGGGTAAGAAGGTTGGTCGATAGTCAGCTCGGAGAAGAACAGTACGGCTTCAGAGGGCAGCGAAGTACACAGGATCTTATCTTCACAATGGGCCAAATTACAGAAAACACTGTCGAGAAGAATAAGGAGCTTTCTGTCTGTTTCGTGGACCTCTAAAAGGCTTTCGACAGAATGAGGAAGGGAGATATAGAGCGAGCATTGTTTGAAAGAGAGACCGATCATGGAACGATTTTGGCTGCGATGAGTCTCTATAACGAGACCAGAAATGTGGTTAGGACCATGAACCACATTTCAGAAGAATTTGAGACGACATTGGGTATTCGCCAAGGTTGTAGCTTAAGCCCACAACTGTTCGTAATAGTTTAAGACATGGCACTTAGAAAGGCTAAAGTAAGGATGAGGCAGTTCCTTTTTTGGACACCGAAAACTGCAACCGACAAGATTCACTGTGCTGGCATTCGCTGACGACCTAGTCTTGCTAGCTGCCAACGATCGAGACCTCCAATACAACATCAACACCCTTATGAAAGAAATGACCACGATAAACATGAAGATTAACACGTGGAAAACTGAATGCATGAGGATGGGGAAGAAGCCCCGGAGAATAATGAGGCTGATGAGAGCAAGTGGTGAGAGATTCGAGCAGGTAGATAATTTCCAGTATCTGGGTGTTCATATCAACGAAAGTGGTTATGTTGATGTCTTCATCACCTCTTGGTGAGTAAAAGAATCTGGACAGCTGGCAGAGTGTTTTATCTGCTCCGGAGGGAATTTCTGGGCAGAAGAGAGATAACGAAACGAACTAATGTAGCACTTTACAAATCGAGATTTCTCCCTATTCTTTCGTACTCCTCTGAATCGTGGACCTTCACCTCGAAACACAAAAGCCGAATTCAAGCCATGGAGAAAGGTTATAAGAAAAAGGGTCCGGAACGCCACTATACGAACTAGCCTCGAGGTCAAAACGTCTGAAACCATCTTAGAGGAGCACAAGCTAAGATGGTTCGGACATCTTCTTAGAATGGATCAAGAGAGAACATCCAGGAAGACATAGGAGACCCGTGGGGAGGGAAGGAGACCTAGAGGAAGACCACGCATATCCTGGTATGGGGGCGTTCAGGAAGCGAGGTATGGATTGGAGTAAGAGAAGAGAGTTGATTCAAGAAAGGGAAACCTGGTCCAAGCTCTACAAGATACTGCCCACACTGCGCTGCGGTATTGGGATCAGAAATATGATGATGATGATGATGTATGAGTAGTACTAAATAAATAATACGTATTATATACTACATTTTCATATACTTCTATATTTCTCCAAAGGTTCCCCGAAAATCTGTACTTTTTGGTGTCATTGATGTCGACCAAATGTAGCGTTATTTTTTTAAAAATATGATCACTTCCATTTATTGTTTTTGTTCCATTTAATGCATTTTTTATTCTTTTTCAGGATTATCCACGAAAGCGGTTTTACTCCCGAAGACTTTAAACAGTACAGGCCAGTTGTGTACAGCAATACCATACAGTCATTAGTCGCTATTCTTCGAGCTATGCCAAATCTCGGAATATCGTTTACGAACAACGAACGAGAGGTAAGTGTCACTAGTTGTATTCTATGTCAATTTTTAATATTCATTTTGAAATGAAAAATCCACACAACAAAGCCTTGAGTCTCCAACATACAAATGTATAGTTGACTTGCCAACGTTTCGCCAATACAGGCAGATATGTGATCTTGGTTTTTTTTGCCAAGATGATAATGATTGGAGGTAACAGTTTTAAGGGGGTAACAGTGTCTCTTTTCTAGTTTTATGCTTATTTTTGTAATAATTCATTATAAATGTATAAATTAATGAAATAATTAATTAATTAGAGAGAAAATTATTAATGTAAATTTGGTACTTGTTAAAAATCACTACTCCAAGATGTTAGAGGCTCGTATAAATATCACTTTGAGCACACTGTAGGTGAGATCCCATAAGAAAGTAGATGTCATAAGCGCAGACTACCGGGAGGAGGCGAGGGGGTCTATTGCTACTGCACCCCCAATGAAAATATTGAGGGCATGTGAATATCGTTTTTTTCCCCAATTATTTGCACGAAAAAATATAAAATTAATAATAAATAAGCACGAATGAATGAATGAAATATGTAAACTAAACTCGATTAAAAAAATGGAAACGTCGCTAAGCTAAATTTTCTAACATCAAACTCATCCAATCCTTTCAGTCCAATGTCCTCCGAACAATATTGAACGTTGATGCTCCGTTCTATGTAACCAACTAAACCCTGCATCATGACCTTAATATTCCATTTGTCCTAGACCTTATCCCTGAAAAATTTTCCAAATATCATCAGAACCTTACAAATCATCCAAATCTGCTTGCAAAATCCCTATCTAGTTACACTCATCCCTACAATCCTCCTCGAAGGTTGAAGCGGCAGTGGTCCAGAGATCTTTTGTAGTATATATCTTGGAGTTCTGACAATGGCCAGATTCTCCACTCAAGACATGAGTGTATGTGGCAAAAGCGCTCTCGCTCCAACTCCACTGGCTTTAGCACCAGTGACGCGGTTGAGAGAGTAGCGCAGGGGTTTCTTGGAGTCCTGCTTTTCCCTCTATAGTTGGAGGTATGTTGGAGCCTGGCTTAGGGTTCCCTACCTGATTGTATATATTGAATATAGGTATGACTGAGTTTTTATGTTTTTAATATACATATCTTTAGGTTATTTTATTTTTTATTGTGCATAGTTGTTTGATTATTATTTAGTTGTTATTTTACTTTTTTTAATTTCATGTTTTCTGTATATATGGTGTGAATGTGTTAATATATCGCTATAATTATTATCCACGTAACAGATTATTATACTTCTAAATAAATAAAAATAAAAAAAAGATATTAACGATAGATGCTATTCGATATTATCACAGCTATTGATAATCGGTGCTATCTTACTATCGCTAACTCTACACTGTATTACTGCACAATGACCCTATAGTACAAAGTTCTGATTATCGAAACTATATAAAGAAATCGAATAACATGTACCCGGGCGTCCGATTATCAGACGGATCCGCCCTTTACTCCTCTACCTTGGGAAAGCTGAGGAAATCAATACAGATCGTATGGGGCCCAGGTCAAACGAATTTCGTGCAAGGGGCTGGAGAAGAAAATCATCCAGGCTCCCAGACAGTCTTAACCTCAGTTGTAGATTTACCACTTGGCTGGGCGGAAATTTTTGATAATCGGCAAATTTTGAATAAAATTTTATTTTTATACAAGTGTTTTAGTGTACATTACATGATCTATGGCCTAATAAAATAATATACACTAACAAATCTTCATAACATATATATTTTATCAATAATATGTTTACAATACCACATCAACAACTTGTTATACTTCAACCGGGAGGTTACAGCTTGGTTCGCCAGTGCCTTTTGAATTGACTTACAACTACTCCGCTACAGTGTAAACAAGAGATCAAGTGGGTACTTTTTATTCGTCGTTTTGTAAGTCGATTTATTGAAGATTAGGTTACAACAATAAAAACGAAAAAGTCACGAATTTTTCTCCGGTAGTGGTTCCAATGTGCAGCTGCTTCAAAAGTTCCATCCGAGATCTTTCCAATTTTCTTGTCATCTTGGCTTAGGCAATAAAAAAAACACTAGTAAAGTTAATTTTTTCAGGTCGTTCAAACTAAATTTGATAATGAAGCGTATTCTGTAATTAAACGGTCAACAATAATGGAAAACGCCCTGAAATAAAACACTGAATAATACGTTTCTCTTTCTAAAAGGTTGATTACTTTTTAAAACATTTGAAGCTGTCCTTAGAAAATGCACTTAATCGGCGGATAAGCGGAACTGGCGTAAACACCTACAGTTCTCTGCCACATCATTCAGTACTCATAAATGGCATAGTTAGAGTACTATAATATTCTATTTTTTTACTGCTTCCTTTGTTCTATATTGAGGATGTTTAAGAAGGCCTCTATTGTAAAAATGATATAATTATAATAATAAAACTTAATTCAAAATTACTTGGCTGAATATCTTTCTTGAATTTTAATAGCATAAAATTAAACATTTTGTTGTATATTTACTGATTCTTAAAGTTTCTAATTTATAATGTTAAATTATATGTACTTTCCAGAAATGAATCATATTAATATGTGTTGTATAAACTAAAATATATATTTAATCTGAATTACATATAATGAGTAGTTACCGGACCGTTTAGTAATAATCAGATATCAATAATAAAAAAAATAATTCTAATTATTATTTTAATTAATAATAATAAATTAATTAATAATAAATAAATTAAATAATTCATTATTGTTTTTTATTATTATTTTAATGTTAGTTTACTTCCTTTATTTTGTTCTGAGCTTGGGCCATATTGTATACAATTATACAATTTTAATATTAAATGCATTATTCTCTTTGTATAAAGAAAGATGGAAAGAGCCAAGCTAAATGCTCTATGTAACCGAAAATCATTGATACTATTTGTTCTTAAAAGGGGGGAAAACGCCAAAGTGAACCTAACAATTTTAAGAATTCATACCTCTAAATAAAAATATTTTGTTTGAAATTTATTATATTAATTTGTATAAATACAAATTAATTAATAAGAGACATTTAGGCTATTTCTTGTTTAGTGTCCGCATGCGTCTCACTAGTGAATTTAAGTCACACCCCCAATCCCTACTACACTTCCGAGACACATTGTTACTTCAGGTTTTTAGCTGAATATGAACTTTTTTTATTATTTGAAAAAGTGCAGTCTCAATCTTATATACCTTCTTTATCATTTGAATACTACTGCATTTCAAATTTACGCGTTTTCCCATGTAAGTTTCAATTAAGCGCACATCAACATAATAATTATGTCCACAAACATTTAAAAATAAAGCAATGGTTTTTTTTGTTGATATTAACAGATAATTCAATGGAAAAAAATCGTAAAACAAATCCACTTCTTAACACCTTTGAAGCATGGGTTTTGGAGAGGGGAACTACCAGGAAGATCAATGAATTTGGAAGAAATATAACCTCGTTCATGGGAGAAATTTACATAAATTCATTTTCTATCTATTTCATATCTCAAACTCTTTAAAATCGATTTTCGTAGGATTGGGTGAGTCAATTTTCTCTTGCGAATGATAATTTATTCACTGTTATTAACGAGTAGTGGTACTGGTATTATTTTTTTCCCAGTTGTTATTTTGGGAGGGAAAGTCCCCCTCTTTTTTTTTTCATCCACATGGATTGAAAATTTGGAGGATACAGTAAATGATGAACTTTTTATAACTATCGAATAAAAGATTTGCATTATAAGTCTATTTAGTTATATTAGGTTAGTGGATACACAATGTGTCAGTTACTGTAAATCCAACTGCAATCTCAGTATTACGAACTTTGGTAACCCGAACACTCCAGTTTTCCGTATTCGTGGCAAGAAAAAAAGAAACAAACAAGAATGGAGCTAGAAATATTTTATAATTCTTTATCTTACGAGAAGAATAACTTATTTTTTTCTCATAAGAATAGCTAAACTTTCATTATATCAATATTGATATTTTACATCTCTTACTGTTTAAAATTAAATTTTTTTTTTTAATTATTAAAAAACACTTTATTCAGAAATATTACAATTTGTCACAGTTAAGGACACTTATAATAGAGTTCAGAGATTGCATTCATACCGTATATACAAAAATATAAATAAATAAAGTAATAACAAAAGAATAAGAAGAAAGAACAAAAGAGTAAAGAAAAAAAAATAATATATATACACATAAGTAAATAAAAATAGAAATAAAAGTAAAACAAACACCTTATATAAAACATACATTATTTACAATTTGCCAGGTGATCTCCGAACCAATCCTTTCCCCTCCACATGTGGAGGGGAAAGGGAGGCTTAGGAGATCCCTACGCTTCTCCCTCAGCCACTTCACTGGTACTTTAAACCAGCGGAGGATGAGTAAGAGCGCTACAGCCACAGACACTCATGACTTGAGTGGAGAATCTGGCCATTGCTAGAACTCCAAAATATCCATATTTACAAAAGGTCTCGTGGCCGCTGCCGCTTTAACCTACGAAGGGGATTGTAGGGATGGATGGTGCTTGATAGGGATTGTACAACGGGATTTGGGTGATGAGAAAGGTTCTGGTGAAATTTGGAAAATTTGGCTGGGATAAGATCAAGAATAAATGGGATATTAAGGTCATGATGTAGGGTTTCATTGGTTACATAGAAGGGAGCATTGACTATTGTACGGAGGACTTTAGACTGAAAGGATTGAATGCGTTTGATGTTAGAAAATTTGGCTGTTCCCCATAGTTCTAGTCCGTAAGTCCAGATGGGTTTCAGTATTGTCTTGTAGATCAGTAATTTGTTTTCACCAGAAAGTTTAGATTTTCTATTCAGTAGTCTATATAGCTGGCCATATCGTCTGTTAAGTTCCTGTCTTTTAAGTCGAGTATGTGGATTCCATGTTAGTCGTCAGTCTAAGAGAAAGCCAAGATACCGGACTGTATCTGAGAAAGGAAGCTGGATGGAGTTAAAATAAACTGGTG